AGTACCATTTCATTTCTATTTTCTTATACAAAATCAAAGATAACCATGAAATAGTGTTTATAATTGTATAAGTGAGTGCTGAGTACTCAATTATATCATCATCATCATTGCAGCCCTTCACAAATCCACTGCTGAACATAGGCCTCCCCAAGGAATGCCACAAAGCACGGTCCTGAGCCACCTGCATCCATCGACTTCCTGCATGTCTTACCAGGTCGTCACTCCATCTAGTGGAGGGACACCCTACACTTCATCCGCCGGTACAAGGCCGCCACTCGAGAAACTTTTCCCCCCATCTATTGTCGGTTCTTCGAGCTAAATGGCCGGCCCATTGCCACTTTAACTTACTAATCCGTTAGGTTATGTCGGTCACTCTGGTTCTACTGCGGATATCCTCATTTCTAAGTTTATCATGCAGAGAAACTCCGGGCATAGCCCTCTCCATTGCTCGCTGAGCGACCTTAAGCTTCCTCATCCGGCCAGCAGTGAAGGACCACGTCTCAGTTCCATAGGTCATCACTGGCAACACGCACTGGTTGTACAATCTCGTTTTCAAGTTCTGAGGTATACCTGACGAGAAGATGTGTCGTAATTTCTCGAACGCTACCCAACCGAGTTGAATCCGTCGATTGACCTCTCAGTCGAAGTTGGACTTACCTAATCGGACTATTTGTCCCAGGTAAACATACTCGTCAACAACTTCGAGCTTAGTGCTCCCAACAACTACCGGCATAGGTGTGACATGGACATTAAACATGATCTTTGTTTTGTCCATGTTCATCTTAAGACCTATCCGTTGGGAAAAACTATTGAGGTCATTGAGCATAGTGCTTAGGTCCTCCAGCGATTCTATATCGACGGCAAATTGTAGGTGAGTCATGTACTCGCCATTGATGTTAATACCGTATCCTTTCCAGTCCAGAAGCTTGAAAACGTCTTCCAATGCAGCCCAATTACATACGTACGTTTATTAATTTCAATATAATATTTGTAGTAAAGAACTGCTTGTTGCATTTCTTTTGGGGAGATTGATTATTAATTTTAGTTTTTGAGTCAGTTCCGTGTTGACTATCACGTGCGCGTGAGCGACAGTTCAATCGTTTTGTTTTGTGTTTCTCGTTTTGTTTTAATAATGCCTAACGCGTAGGTACGCTTATAGTGCTTGTGAATACGGCAACATGTCAATGTGCCTTAGAGAATGTCATAAGAAGGATTTAGATCGATAAGCTATTGCATACCTAATTTATTTAAATAACTTAGTACTGAACTCATCTGAATACATAGGTACATAACTGAATACATCAGAATAATAAACATACCTAACGATGGATAAAAAAGCATGACTCTAACCTTGTTAACATTTCATTTTAGTAATTTTTTATTAGCGGGGAATCGAACCTGGTATTTGGTTTATTTACCCCGTGAATAAAGTGGCTAGGTGGACACAAGCACAGTGGTAAAATAATAGGTTAAGTAGATAAGTTAGGTATTTAGACAAGTGTTGTAAATTATTAGGTATTGTGGTGGCTGTTAGACGGTAGATGAAGCTACATTCTTCAACAGATTTGACAGCATAGAGGCAACTGAACTATGCGCAGCTGTACACGTCATCGTTGGAGCCACACGCAAGTGTGAGTAACGATCCAAGAGCGAGTCTTATTCGACACTATTCCAAAGATATCCCGGATGTCAGTTTGAGCGAGATTAGAATGGCTCTCCAGCACCTAAAAACGGAAAGTCCCCTGGCGAGGATGGAATTACAGCGCAGCTTTTGGAAGCGGGTGTAAAACCGGTACTTAAGTCCTTCAGCCGGGTTATTCACAATCGTTTCGGAAAGCGAAATCGACTCTGATTCGATAACTTCTCGCACCGAAACCAATAAACGCTATTCACATTTAACGTGCGGATAAAGGTCACTTAGATACATCCCATAACTATTGTATCGTCATTTAGTTACATGCATTTACGAATTTTGTAGATAAATAGGGTTTTGTATTTTTTTAGAGTAACGCCTGAACAAAAACATAATGCAATATTTTGGTGTTAGCCATTGATATCGAATATAAAAAATATATAATTTAACTATATAATAAATAACAAAAAAACTGAGATAATATGCTGCTTTGTGATAGAAAACTTATAAAAACACACCTTTCACAAAAATTCAGCTTTACGATTAAGTGCAAATATTGAAGTAATTATATGAAAACACGTCTTATAGATAATTGTAATTAATTTTTGTTACCTACCTTATAATTAAAAGGGTTTATTTATCTCTTCTAATCATCAATATTCGAAAAGTTTTCGCTAGCCTCAGAGCTCTCGTGAAGTTTCCGATGCAAACTGCCACAATTATCGAAAACAAACGTCAAAGAAGTACGGTCACGCACCATAGAAAAAAACACAGACCCGACAGAAACGAGACATATCTCAGTTTTTTTGTTATTTATTATATAGTTAAATTATATATTTTTTATATTCGATATCAATGGCTAACTCCAAAATATTGCATTATGTTTTTGTTCATGCGTTACTCTAAAAAAATACAAAAGCCTATTTATCTACAAAATTCGTAAATGCATGTAACTAAATGACGATACAATAGTTATAGGATGTATCTAAGTGACCTTTATCCGAACGTTAAATGTGAATAGCGTTTATTGGTTTCGGTGCGAGAAGTTATCGAATCCGAGTCGATTTCGCTTTCCGAGACGATTGTGAATAGCCCGGCAGAAGCTCTTTAATTCCGTCCTCCATGGTGGCACTACTCCGGAGGCGTGGAGCAGAAGTGCGGTGGTCTTGTTCTTCAAGAAAAGCGACAACGCTCTCTTGAAGAACTACAGACCGATTTCCGTTCTGAGCCGAGTCTATATGCTGTTTTCGAGAGTCATTACGAATCGTCTTGCACGCAGACTTGACGACTTCCAGCCTCACGAACAAGCCGGTTTCCGAAAAGGCTTTAGTACCATAGACCACATAAACACCCTTCGGCAAATTGTACAGAAGTCCGAGGAGTACAATTTGCCATTATGTCTGGCGTATGTGGTCTATGAGAAAGCCTTTGTTTCCGTCGAAATTTGGGCGGTGCTGCAGTCCCTTCAGCGGTGCCAAGTTGACTGTCGGTATATCGAAGTGCTGAAGTATTTGTGCAGTAGAGCTACGATGGCTATCCGAGTACAGAATCACAAGTACGAAACCTATTCAACTGCAGAGAGGTGTAAGACAGGGTGATGTTATATCCCCGAAACTTCACCGCTGCATTAGAAGACGTTTTCAAGCTGCTGGACTGGAAAGGAATTAACATCAATGGCGAGTACATCACTCACCTTCGACTTATTTCAGAATCGCTGGAGGACCTAAGCACTATGCTCAATGACCTCAACAGTGTCTCCCAACGGATAGGTCTTAAGATGAACATGGACAAAACAAAAATCATGTTTAACGTCCATGTCACACCTATGTTGGGAGCACTAAGCTCGAAGTTGTTGACGAGTATGTTTACCTGGGACAAATAGTCCGGCTAGGTAAGTATAACTTCGACCGAGAGGTCAATCGACCGATTCAACTTGGCTGGGCAGCGTTCGGGAAACTACGACACATCTTCTCGTTAGATATACCTCAAAACCTTAAAACGAAATTGTACAACCAGTGCGTGTTGCCAGTGATGACTTACGGATCTGAGACGTGGTCCTTTACTGCTGGCCGTATGAGGAAGCTCAAGGTCGCTCAGCGAGCTATGGAGAAGGCTATGCTCGGGGTTTCTCTGCGTGATAAACTTAGAAATGAGGATATCCGCAGTAGAACCAGAGTAACCGACATAGCCCAACGGCTTAGTAAGCTGAAGTGGCAGTGGGCCGCCATATAGCTCGAAGAACCGACAACCGATGGGGAAGAAAGGTTCTTGAGTGGCAGCCTCGTACCGGTAGGCGAAGTGTAGGGCGACCCCCCACGAGATGGAGTGACGACCTGGTAAGACATGCAGGAAGTCGATGGATGCAGGTGGCTTAAGACCGTGCTTTGTGGCATTCCTTGGGGGAGGCCTATGTTCAGCAGTGGACTTATGAAAGGCTGTAATGATGATGATGATGATGATGATGATGATGTGGTACCATCGCTAGCTGCGGGCTGCGCGAATTCGGCGTCCGGGCGTACATTGACCCCTAGTCAGCTGATTGTAATTCCACTGCTGGTTTTATGTTTAAGTATTTTCATGATTTTTTTTATTAAATTATTGTTTCATTTAGCTGTACTAGAAATTATTTTATTTACTTTCATTTACTGTACATGGAGCGTGAATAAAGTTAATAAAACGTTGTGAAAAGATGATTTTTTTCCTCGGGATCGAATTTCTTTGTGACCCATCATCAAAGGTATCGTTAGTACTATCCTCTGTTTTCGTTTTCGGGAGCGTTTCATAAACACCCGGTATATATACACAAAAACAGAAGTAGTTTTAGTAAAAAAAAAAACTGATATACGAGTGTCAACACTAGGAACAAACGCAAGCTAGTCATACCAGTTTCTCGACTCCATAGATTCAGTAATTGAAGTAATTATTTTATTACATCACTCGATAGCTACAGGATCAAAAAATTACTTTACGTTGAGTGAGGATTGTGATGCATCGTGCCCGGCGGAGTAGGAAACGCTACCATTTTGAGGTCCTTTCGTTACGTACGCGTAATCACTACGGTCGTATCCACAACACAATAACACCAACATATTTTGTTATATACTAAAATCGTGCTGATGACATGACGTAACGATTCTTTAATTAATTTAAATACCAAAAAGCGAAAATTAATTTATCTCTCACCTCCCGTAGCTCAATACAATGTGTCATATGCCAAATCGTACTTATTTATGCAAACTCTTTAATAATGCACGAATATGATAAAATGTTATAGCTACAAATAAACATGTTTTTTCTTTCATAATTGAAACTTTGAATAAGTGTTACTAGAAGGCGTATGTAGAATGTGGAGCGCGTGTTGTTTCAGATCAAGGGCTCGTTCTCGAGCCGCGGCGGGGCGTCCAACCCCAACCCGTACTCGCGCGGCAACGCGTGCGCCAACTGCTGGTACGTGCTGTGCGGCCCGCTCGCGCCCAGCCTCATCGACCGGTACCCACCCTCACACGTTCTTACTCACCTGCTTACCATACTATTGCCCAAATACTCCAACGCTGCTCAATTTTAAATTGAGGTTAAGTCTCGTGTTGTCTTTATCACTTTAAGTCAAAGTGACTGTGACACTACGAGACTTCACGACATCTTCAAATTGAGTAGCGTTTGAGTATTTGGTCTTATCACTTTTAAATGAAATTAGTTTTTACGGATTTTATATTAATTTAATTTGTATTCCCGATGTTTTGAGTATTTTATAGCACCCATGGTCATGGAGGATCGAGGTGTTTGACGTCCCAATATATCATTAACCACGGCTACTTTCAGATTAAAATGATTAGTTTTGGTTAAATCTACGCAGTATGAACTTATAGTATCTTGAAGTCTTGTAGATCTATGCTTGAGTTGGGATTTAATTTTATTAATTATAGGAACCCAAGCAGATGGTAGAACCCAGCCATCTTCTCTATTGAAATGAGGATGATTCTATCACCTTTTATTATAATATTGCCTTTAAACATTCTTCCGAAGTCGTTTAAGCCACTATTAATTTAATATTAAATCAGCAGTTTAGTGAAAGATAGCGTGCACTCATAGCAATTAGTGATCGTTTTTGAAAGATTTTTTTTAGATGGATGAAAGACCTATATTTTTGTAGAACATTGTATTTACTTATCATTAACCATTACACCAGCGCACGTGGATAAAGCAATTTTTAAGCGCTTTTTCTTCCGACTTGCTTAACAGAAATCAATATTTAAGGCTAGCTGAGAGATGTAGTCTAATGTTAGGTAGCCTATACTGTTTTTCATGAATCTGGCTATCATATACAAAGAGAATTAATCAAATAGCACTGGTAGTTCCAGAGATTAGCGTGTTTAAACAAACAAAAAACCTCTTCTGCTTTATTATATTAATATAGATTATATCTCATTCTCTCGCAGGCTAAATCATATAGATGTATATGTTTGTCTCTTTAGTGTCGCTTTTTCGTTTCATCGCGTTTTCAAATCAGAACGATAACGAAACGGTACTAAAGAAGTTTTACTTTGAAAAGTTATTGTCATTTCACTTTGAGGTACGATACAGTTTCCTGAAATGGGCAACATACATAAAGTAGGAGTAAATTTACATCCTCTCCTCTATACATCTAACTGCTGGGCGTGGGCCTTGGAGCAAATATTTACGCAGATCCTATTAGTTCGGTCTCTGCGGGAGTTTGCGCACAATGGACTTTAGAGATAGAAACTATATTCATAAAAAAAAAGAGATCTGATAATTGAGAAATAATTCATATGGAATAAACTTAAGCATAAATCATATTTAACAAGTTTCAAAGAGTCCATCACCAGATCAACTCCATGGTACCATATTATTGCATTGGCATCAAAGTAAATGTGCCCATTGACGATACGTCTGTTTGGAATGCTTCTAAATACCTCCTAATGGAAGTACTCCAAATTAAAGGCACATTGACTACACGTCCATTTGGACGTGGTAGAGCCATGCTGCAGCTATATTTCTGGTATAGTTGTAACACGAATGGGTCGGCTCGACCGGGGAAAGACCAAGCTCTCACACAATACCAGCGTAAAATAGCAGCTTAATGCTAGTAATAGTAGTAGTAGTAGAGAACCGGAGACCCTTTTTACTGGAACCGAGGCATTCCATCTTAGTCCTCACGGGTGACAACGCATCTGCATTTTGATGCGTAATCGAGGATAAATGTAAATGTCTATGGGCCACAGCAACCACTTACCATCAGGTGGACTGTGTGCTCGTTTGTCACCCTTATCCTATAAAAAAAACGTATGCGCCGACACTTGAAACGTTATCCGCTGTTCAATTACACGCAAGGAAAAAAAAATCAGTGGATTTTTTAATAGTGGCAACAACAGTGTCTGAGTTGGATGAAGTTCGTCCAATTGGCATACGTTTTACATATTCACGAAACGATTTTGGAAGTCATCCACTCCATTTGGATTGATGGACGTATCGTCAATGGGCACCTTTACATAAGTATGCCGAATTCCGGTTCAATCGGTGTCAACAAGTGCTTCGAAATTTGATTACTAATATTGAACCGGGAAGACATAGGAAATAATTTAAAATTAAGAATTTTGTACAAACGACTTCAATATAAAGTATTAAGAATAACTCGAAGACTATTGGTCAGACCTTGATCAAATTTATATGGGACTGATAATCATCCAAATCGGTTCATCCAGAAAAAAGTTATGAGGTAACATACATAAAAAATATTCAGTCGAATTGAGTATCTCCTCCTTTTTGAATTCGGTAGAAAAGCAAGTTTAAAATAATATAAATATTAAATACAAACAATCTATGTAAAGAATTTTTTTTTGTGCAATAAAACCCGACGTCTAATTATACAGCATGCAACAAAACTATATCAAATCCGTTTGGGATGAGGATTAAGAACTAATTAGAAAAAAAAAGAGTAAAGAAAATACAATCATGTGCAACTAACACAACTAACACATGGGCATGTGTAGTCATGTTAGTTTTCTTATTCAAAACTTAATTAATCTGTGCCATGAAAAGGTACTTTGCACCTCCTTTCATGCATTGCGCGCTGTCGCACATATTTTGTTCGCGGTGTCTGTGCTAGTACGTAGTTATGCAGTCTCGAAGTAACCGTAATATCATAACAGCATGTAGATTCCATGTTGTTCTAAGTTTTTTTTATATTAGATTACTCTTAAACATGATATTTGCAAGTAGCCATAACTTTACAGTAACATGTTGATCACGAATTCTACCGATTAAGCTTTTAATATCAGATTACTCAAAACATATTGTGAAGTGTAAGGTTACAGAAGACGCTGACTCCACTGTATAATTGTTATTGCTGGTCAAACCAAGGTGTCATACTTTCAGTCTACAGACTTGTTTTGACTATAAAAGCCGTTGCATTTAGAATTACGTACATTCATTATAGTCCTCATCGTAGTAATGTGATCATTTAGTCACGCATGTCAGTATTGCACTGAAATAGTTTTAATCAATTATTGAAATGAAATAGTAATAAATGTCATCAATACATGTTTGTTGTTTTTAAAAAGCTTCAGCACCGCCCCCGAGAGTTAACTGGGCAGTAACTATTTGGTGGAGTGAGGGTTGTTTGTTGTGCGTGCGCAGGCGCGGGCTGGTGTGTGCGGAGGGCGGCGAGCTGCCGGCCGCCTTCGCGCAGGCGCTGGCCGCGCCGCGCGCGCCCCCCGCACCCCCCGCACCCGCCGCGCTCCCCCCACACGCTCCCCCCGCACACGCCGCACCCCCCACGGTCGTGTCGCCCCCTACGCCTCAAGCAGCCAGTTTCGGCACTGTATCGCTTGATGGTACGTTTATCGCACTCACTTTACATATTAATCAACTATCCTTGTACATGTTTACACACCAATGGCTGCACAAAAGACTACGACGTGTTGAAATGACGTCTTAATTTGCTCGTAGGTGATTTTTTAACAAATAATGTGATTTTGATTTTGATTAAATACTAGCAATGCACCCATGCTTCGCACGGGCGATTTCGAGATCGCGACAACAGGGCCACCTAAAGGGTCCAAATGTGAATCTAAACCATCTAGAAACTCATTCAAACACATATAAAAATTTCATCTAAATCCGTTGCGCAGTTTAAAAGATCTAAGCGTACAGACAGCGGAAAGCGACTTTTATTTTATCCTATGTAGAAATAAAGAAGCTATATTTTAATTCAAAAATATTTTAAACAGTACACATAGTACACTACACACTACACTAGCTCATAGTTCCACACGCATAAATGCATAAAATGCAATTGCAAATTCATCGATCATTGCTTTGTAGCGCTTTGTAAACATATGGTAACATCGAGCTAACACCACCGATGGCAACGTTAAAATACCTTATCACAACATAATTATTGTCTGCGTATACCGTTCTTCATCTGCTACAAAACAAAGGCATTTTGAATGCTCTTTCGATAAACTGGAGCTTGTACTTAGTAAATATTTGCTTAAGCACTCGAAGCAAAAAATTGTGATTGTGGGAGATATCAACATAAATACTTTAATAAAAATAATGTGACCAACAACTTACTAGATAGTCTCCAAAATTATAATCTCACTAAACATATCTCGGAACCCACTAGAGACCTATCATGTATTGTACCATATATACCATATATTCAGTAATGTTAAAGATGGAACTGGACTTACCCTACCTCTCTGTTTGTCCGACCATGATACTGCGCAAATTCTTAGTTTTAGTTTTAAATCAAAGATTACTCCCTCAAAAACCTTATACACCTATAGGAGAGACTACTCATCTGAAAATATAGAGAAGTTTAAAAGATATATGGTGAGCCTTTCCTTTTCCGATGTTTACAGCGAAACAGAACCTAACGCTGCGTTTAATAAATTTCATGATTGGCTATGCCTTCTTTACAAACTCTGCTTCCCTTATAAAAAAGTTAAACTGTCTACAAAATCTCATTTAAAATAGATATCTAAGGGAATTAGGAATAGCTGTGCGAAAAATAGAGTCCTAAGAAAAAATTACTATCGGAGAAAAACTCCTCAAAACAAACACAAATATAAAACCTACTCAAAACTACTTAAAAAATGCGTACTATGTTCTAAAACAACACCTAATAATAAATATGAGTTAAACAGCAAAAATACCTGCAAAGCTACTGGGAAGGTCATACAAATTGAAATAGATACCAAGCCGCAATATAATAATCACATTGATTTTATTGATTTTTTTTATAGAATAAGGGTGACAAACGAGCACACAGTCCACCTGATGGTAAGTGGTTGCTGTGGCCCATAGACATCTACATCTATCTTCGTTTGCGAATTAAAATGCAGATGCGTTATCAGCCGTGAGGACTAAGATAGAATACCTCTTTTCCAGTAAAAAGGGTCTCCGGTTCTCTACACTCACCATACGAAACACAGCAGCATTAAGCTGCTATTTTACGCTGGTATTCTGTGAGAGCGTGGTCCTTCCCCGGTCGAGTCGACCCATTCGTGCTACAATTATATTATTATTAATATAGCTGCAGCATGGCTCTACGACGTATAAAATACGACAACGAAGTTATTAATTTTCCTACACAAAATAATATATCAAATAATAAATCCAATCAAATCCTAAATAATTGTATTTATCTAAGCCCTATTGACGAATATGATATAAATAAAGTAATGATGACCTTGAATAATAGTAACTCATAAGGGTATGACGGCATTTGTACCAAAGTAATTAAGGCCTGCAATAAAGAAATAGGCAGAGTCTTGGCATTTTTAATAAACTTATCAATGGTCTCTGGTATCTTCCCTGATAAACTTAAATTTTCTTTGTTCAAAAAAGACAAAAATCAATTTTGGACAATTACCGTCCTATTGCGCTTGTACCAATTTTGTCAAAAGTATACGAAAAAATTATACATACTAAACTCACATCTTTCTTTGACAAGTATCATGTCCTGAATCCCAGTCAGTATGGGCTCCAGAGGGGTAAATCTACTGCACATGCTGTTTTCGATATGGTAAAGGAGACTAACATGCCTAAATGCTAATAATTATACAACTGCTCTTTTCTTTGACATGTCGAAAGCCTTCGATTTTGTATCACATAATTTACTATTGGAAAAATTGGAAAAATGTAGTATTAGAGGCACAGCTTTAAGTTGGATTAAACCTACTTGCAAAATAGACGACAATCTGTTGAAATAAGCAGACCAGACTGCAATCATGTGGTCCTAAACTACATATCAGATTTTAAAGAAAACAAATATGGAGTTACACAGGGCAGCGTTTTGGGACCACTGTTGTTCTTAGTCTATATTAATAATCTACCGGATGTAACTAAACACAAATGCATTTTATTCGCTGACGACATATCTGTAATAGTGAAAACAGATGGTAAACAATCTCTAAAATACCATATTAATGACATTGATAGTACAGTAAAAACAATAATAGAATGGCTTAAAAATAATAATCTAATTATAAATCTTGACAAAACTTATTTTATAAATTTAAATGACATATTATACCAGACAATGAACATTAATTTTGAAGGACAAAACCTAAAAAGTACAAATATGACAAAATTCCTATGTATATGGATAGATCAAAAACTAAATTAAAAAAGTCAAGGTGAAAATGTTTGTAAAAAAATTAATAGATTTTCCTACGCACTTTACAAACTACGCAAAATAGCCACAAAAAATACAGCACTTACTTTGCCTATGTGGAATTCGTTTTGCGATACGGACTCATTATATGGGGTAATAGCACAGATGCAAAAAAGGCATTTATTGCCCAAAAAAAATGTATTAGAGCAATATGTGGCGCTGCATCTGATGAGCCTTGCAGGCCGTTATTTATATCTCTGAAAATACTACCCGTCCCATGCCTGTACATTTTTGAAATTGCAAAGTTTGTAAAACAAAACATGTATTATTTCAGACAAGCGAAAGAGATTTATGCACGAAATACCAGAAATGGCAATAGACTTGCTGCTGAAATTATACCCAAGAGTGATCGATTTAAAAAAAAAACTGCTACTGGATGTGTATTCTCATATTTAATAAAATACCCCAAAATATAAAAGACTTAACCCTTAATAGATTTAAAGGTAACTTTTACAGATGGCTAAATGAACATTGTTTTTATAATGTGAATCTCACAGAAAACCAGCGTAAAATAGCAGCTTAACGCTGCTGTGTTTCGTATGGTGAGTGTAGAGAACCGGAGACCCTTTTTACTGGCAAAGAGGCATTCCATCTTAGTCCTCACGGATGACAACGCATCTGCATCTTGAGTCTTTATTTAGGATAGATGTAGATGTCTATGGGTCACAGTAACCACTTACCATCAGGTGGACTGTATGCTCGTTTGTCACCCGATCCTATAAAAAAAATGTGAATGACTACCTAAATTTGACATGATGTGTCACAACAGTAGTTATATATTCTTAATTAAATATTAATCTTAATTATATTTAAATTTGTATGTATTGGTATTGCTAATTTGTAAACAATGACATGACGATAAATATTTTAATTGAATTTTATATTGTAATATAATAAATTTAACTATAAAAAAATGTATTTGCATGCTATATTATAGATGGCTGAAAAAGCTGAACTACACTTTATAATAACCACCTAAATGTACCTCTTTTTCAAAGCAAATAAATCTTCATTTCATCTCATTACATTTCATATTCAATAAATACTGAAGTATATTTTTGTCAATAATACGCCTTATTATTATGATGAAGACTTATAACTTTATTATTTATGTTTGATCCTCTGAGCCGGACTGTTAAATGATCTATAAAACAACCTGGTGGTAAATATTTTTTAAAATCATCTATTCCATCCATCCATTATAGCCTATAAATGTTCATTGATAAACATAAGTTTCCTCTATAGATTGCCTTATAGGGGGAATTTTGCCTAAGCTGCCATGTTTGCAACCGTATTTTTTTATAATTTTGTTTTATCAGGAAGATCCTGACCACATCCTGTTCAGTTTCCCTCTGTCGCCTCGAATTTCCTCGACACCCATGGAACGTCGAGTAGACGACGGCGTAGGATAGTAAATACTCTTATACCCCCACTACACTGTTCAAATCAACAACTTTATGGTACAAGTTATGGAGTAGTAGTACAAGATACTAAGACTCTTCATTTATTTTTAAGTAATTCTTTATGAATTATTCAATCTAGTTATTATTTGCTACCAATATGAATTTTATTTAATAGATAACACCTTGCTTGATTACTTACTTTCTTCACGTTTGTGAAGATGAGAAAAATTGTAACTTAAGTTTAAGATGGGTCACGACTCTTTTTATTGCTAGTGTTTGTTTATGCGTGTATGTGTGTGTGCAGGTGAGCCGCGACACGCCTACATGAACCACAGCCTCGACCTCGACCCCGTGCCGTTGCAAGGTAGGTGGGCACTGCAACTCGTCGACATAACAATATATTATTATACTTTATACGCCGTAATATTAAGTCATTAACTGCCTTCGACGACAGCAGAACTAATCCTATTATTTTTAAGTGTAGCAAACGAGTACATAGTTCACCTGATAGGAAATGGTTAAATGGTTGTTGCGGCCCATAGACACCTCCAAATATTATCGATTAATGATAAAAATGCAGATGCATTGTCGCTGTCTCTAGTACAACCCATCACACGTCCACTGCTGAACATAGGACTTCCCAAGGAATGTTACTAAACACGGTTCTGCTTCTTGCATCTCTCTAGCGTAGCCTTACTGTACAAACATTTCAATATTTCGATATACTGATAGTCGACTTGGCACCGCTGAAGGGATTGTAGTACTGCTTTTGCTTACCCAACCTTACCCAAGAAACACATACGTGTTGCCTTTTAATAAAATATAATTATTTAGTAAATAATGGGATTTAATAAACAATATTATGTATGTAAATCCTCTACTTGTGTTAGTGTGTAGGAAACTTAATGTTTATATTGGTTGATAGTGTTATAGAACTTAACGTCTTAAATTTGGTCCTCTGAGCCGGATCTGTTCAATGACCTGTAAAGCTCGCATTTAGCTTCTACGAAGTTTTTAAAATCGTCAATTCCATCCATCTATACTAGCCTGTAAAGGTCGATAGATGAACATAGGCCACCTTCTTAGATTGCCTTTTAGGGGGAGTTTTGCCAAAGTTGGCATGCTTGACAGGCCGGTTAGTAACCGCAGTTTTTTTTATAATTTTGTTTTTATCAGGAAGATGCTGCAGCCCATTTCCTGTTTCAGTTTCCCTTAGTCGCCTTGATTCTCCCCAACTACCATGGGACTATGTGGAGTAGTGGATTTTATTTCATAGAAGAAGGTGATAAACGAGCACACAGTCCACCTGATGTTAAGTGGATGTTGTGGCTCATAGACATCTATATACATAGACATGTATATGATACAGATCCGTTGCTACCCCTGAGGACTAAGATGGAACGCCTCGTTTCTAGTAAATAGAGTCTCCGGTGCTGTTCACTCATCATACGAAACACAATTATTAATTATTGATTAATATAGTATTGAGCTGCTATTTTAGGCTTAGACGGCTTATTTTTATACCACCATATTAATAAACGGCTAAAATCAATATCAATACAAGGTATTGTTATTGATTTTAGACGTTGTTCGGGGTGTATTTATGTAAACTAAGGTAAGGTTTAGTTAGCGACAAATAGTCTGTTTCTGAGCGTGTGATGTTGTACCCGCAGAAGTGTGCATCGGGGGTGGTCGCGGGGTTAGCGGCGTGGGCGGGGGAGGGGGAGGGGGTGCGCTGAGTGCGTCGCGGCTGCGGCTGCTGCACGACACCACCATGATCGACGCCGCGCTCGACCTCGACGAGCCGGACGTGCCCTCCCACCTACCCCACCTCCCGCACCTGCCCCCCCACCTGCCCCACCACGTGCCCCGCCTGCCCCGCGTCCCCGTGCACAGCTCACCCGTGCCCGCGCTATGACGACACGTTCCCTGTAAATAGTGATTCGCCGCCTCGAATGAACAACCTTCCCAAGCGTTGCTTTTTAATTACTCCCCACGTCGAGGACTGCGAGTGAGTGCGAAGCGGACTATTTGGTGCGCGAACACTTGTAGTTATAAATATTAAGTTAAATCGACCGAACCCGATGACACTAAGTCTTATCAACTTCCCTGTCCGCGAAAAAACAATAGTTATACAATTGAAATGTTCATTTAAGACTCACGGGTCACGGCACTGTGTGACAATGGATAAATAACCTCCGAGAACGTAAAAAGTTCTAATTTCGAACTAGGGTTGTGAAATGATTTCCGATGTTGCTTAGATTTTTGACGTTTCATCTGATTTAAAAAAAATACTTAAAATAGGTTTTATTCAAAAAGGTTGTGATATTAAAAATAAACACAGAAGATAATATAGTTATACTCGACTAAGATCAGAGTATAATCCTATATTATGTTATAACTCTGTATATAAGCGTTGCACTTCTTGTCACAGCTTTTCTTTTTTTGAAAGTACCCTTACTTTTGTATAAAAGTATTAATTACAACCTTAGTTCGCAATTCTTCGACCAGTTTGCATAGCTAATATATGTAAGTACATAAATAAAATGTAAAATTGTTTTGATACGTCAGCCATTACCAATAAAATTTAATATATTGTTAAAAAAAGCGTTTTATTTTATACCTACTAATAATTTAATTTCACAAGTGTCATATCTGATGTGTTTTTGTTGAAACATTTAATAACTAATGTCCTATCATCGCCAAATAGCATCATTGCTTGTGTGTGCGCCTTACCAGAGAAGAAAATGGGGAAGAATTCCCCCGGCGAAAGTGGAACACCATGAGGCTTTAGTCGGTGCGATTCCGACATAATCCGTCCTTTCATGCAAAACAAGGTTAGGTTAGGTTTTTTAAATTTATATCTATAGTATAATTAATAGAATCAGGCGTTACTTTGCGGAAATCCATTATATAAAAGCTTTTAGAAAAATTTACTTCGCAAATATCCGCGTTATAAAATAAAATGAGGTGTCTTACCTAGTATGAAGAGCACCTCCCGCCCTCCTTGCGTGCACTATCCCCGTCACCACTAATCTCAGCACCGCTACTCCCAACACCACTACACTAGGCAAGACACACCACTGACGAAAAGAGGCGAAACACGTGTCGTATTATCAAGACACACTACTGACGATATTCAAATTGCCCAGAGATTTCAACTAGTGCAATCCTGATTTGTGAGTCGCTGAATATATTAAAGACGGAGTGTCCATATGTTTCATCATAAGTTTTGTGGTTTGGTTGGTATAATGCGTAAAGAGCGTAAAGAGCGGCTTGGTAAACACTGCATAAGGATTCTAGCTTAAATTTTTTAATTAATATTTCAGTGTTATCTCTCCACACAAATAGTGCTCCTACTGCCCCTACCTTTTGATCAATTTTACTCCTAGCGGGGTATAACTAAATCCCCTTTTGCTGCTCTTTTATTACTTCCATCTTTAGTGTTTGTTTACTTTCTATTATACTAAAAGTTATATCGTCTTCGCGGGCTGAATGCTCGGCTTCAATATGGATCCTCTTTTGGTTTTCCGCGTTTTGCTTCATACAGCCTTGCTGCACATATATTCAGAAGTAACAGTCCCATTTTATATGAGTGCCGAATTCAACGATATGGTCTTGTATGTTCCCACTGCAGGGTATTGAGGTGTTTTAGCACAGTTATTTTTCGTGTTGCACTTGCCCATACACTGGCTGCATAGAGCATGATCGGATCGATGACTGACACAAATTGTCCCGATGATCTCCGATTTTAGTCTCCAAGAAATTTTTGCTGTCTTTTCTAGCTACTACTATATGATTATGAAAGGGTAACTTTTTTATTATCTATTATAAGGCCTAATAATTTAATTTCATCCACTATTTTGATGTTTGTGTTGCATTGTGTATATAACAACGGACTTTGGTCATAATCTGGTGCTGTCTTTTTATGCACCGCTTGTTTCGCTAAATGATCCGCTCTCTCGTTTCCTTAATTACCTCTTTGTGCTCTTATCCATCTTAACAGTGCATCTATCTTAACAGTGGTAGAGCTAAGCGGTAGCTTTTGCTTTTTTGATGGGCCAGCTCGAACCGGGGTGGTACCACGACCTCACAGAATACCAGCGTGAAGTAGAGGTTTACCTCTGCGTTGCGCTTGGTGAGTGCAGGTGGCCGGAGGCACAATCCCCCCCCCCCCCCCCATCAACATGGTAGTGGAATTAAATAAGAGACTACCCCAGGAGGGTACCAGCACCCCTGGAGAATCCCTCGCTGAGCATCCGTGACCAAACTACTTTACTCCTGAGCGTGGGTGCTCAGGCTGCCCCGCGTATTCTGGGGGGGGGGGGGGGGGGGGGCAAAATTCCGCTCGCGACTAATGATGCTCGGGGCAAGCGGAGCAATGCAACCAAGGCGACCCCTGTCACGCTATCCGTGAATTTTTGCAACATCAGGGGACTTCATTCCAACCTTAACGCTGTCCATTACCATCTAGAGACGGCGAAGCCGGCCTTGCTCTTTTTAACCGAGACTCAGGTGTCCCCTCCGGCTGATACTTCATATCTCTCCTACCCGGGGTACAAATTGGAACACTCCTTTGTGCCCCGGGCTGGAGTTTGCGTATACGTCAGAGAGGACATCTGTTTTCGACGCCTCGGCGGTCTTGAAGGTACGGACCTGTCCATCCTATGGCTGCGCGTAGACAGCGACGACCATCCCCGCGTCTACGGGTGCCTCTATAGGTCCCATAGCGGTAATGCCGACACAGACCGACTCATCGACCACGTCGAAATGGCTGCAGACTCCGTGCTACAACAGGTCCCATCCGCAGAGATCGTGATACTCGGTGATTTTAACGCCCACCACGCTGAATGGCTTGGTTCTCGTTTAACCGATCATGCGAGTAGATCTGTCTATGACTTTGCTTTGGCATATGGTCTAACACAACTGGTTACTTCGCCTACGCGGATCCCAGATGTGGAAGACCATGTACCTTCCCTGTTGGATCTTCTGCTGACCTCTCATCCGCACGGATATCAGGTCTCCGTCGATGCCCCTCTGGGCTCTTCGGACCATTGTCTGATCCGGAGTACGGTGCCACTCACGCTCCAATCGCAGTCGCGATCTGCAGCTTGCCGCCGTGTTTGGCACTATAGGTCAGCTGATTGGGACGGGATGCGGTCTTTTTTTGCATCCTACCCTTGGGGGGGGGGGGGGTTTGCTTCTCGCCGGAAGATCCCAGCGTTGTTGCCGATTCTGTTGCTGATGTGGTACTTCAGGGTATGGAACTTTTTATTCCATCCTCTGTGGTGCCCATCGGAGGCAGATCCCAGCCATGGTTTGGTCGCTCCTGTAAAATAGCATCACGCAATAAGCAGGAGTGCTACCGGGCCTGGTCTGACGCATCAACGTCTCGGGATGTAAACACCAGCGCACTTAAAAAGAAGTATAATTCCGCCTCCAGGTCCTTCAAAAGCGACTTTGCCAAGGCAAGGTCTGAGCACATTGGCAGAATTGGCGAGAAGCTAGTTCGCCTTCCTTCGGGAGCCCGTGCATTCTGGTCTCTCGCAAGGCTGTCCAAGGGAACTTCTGTCAGCTATCTCTTCCATCTCTGCACAGGGAGGACGACTCACTGGCCCATTCCACAAAGGAGAAAGCCGATCTGTTGAGCTCTCTTTTTGCGTCCAACTCGACTCTAGATGACGGGGGGAATACACCGCCGACCATCCCGCGATGTGAATGCTCCATGCCGGATGTGCTGTTCTCACAGCGCTCGGTTCGCAAAGCACTCTTCTCCCTGGACGTCAGCAAGTCGAGTGGGCCCGATGGAGTCCCTCCCATTGTGCTGAAGACGTGTGCTCCGGAGTTGGCACCGGTTTTAACGCGTCTTTTCCGGTACTCCTACTCCCAAGGCGTAGTCCCGAATTCATGGAAGACAGCTTTGGTCCACCCGATCCCTAAAAAAGGCGACCGCTCAGACCCGTCCAACTACAGGCCTATTGCCATCACCTCCTTGTTCTCCAAAATAATGGAATCCATTATAAACTGCCAGCTCATGAGGTACCTTGAGGATCACCAGCTGATTAGTGACCGCCAGTACGGTTTTCGTCGAGATCGAACAGCTGGTGATCTTCTAGTCTATCTGACTCATAGATGGGCGGAGGCAGTAGAGTCCAAGGGGGAGGCATTGGCCGTTAGTTTGGACATAGCGAAGGCCTTCGATCAGGTCTGGCACAAAGCGCTTCTTTCGAAGCTTCCTTCCTATGGGCTTCCCGGGAAAATGGATCACCAGTTTCCTTGCTGATCAGAGTATCAAGGTCGTAGTAGACGGTGCATGCTCTGATTTCAAGCCTATTAACGCTGGTGTTCCACAAGGCTGCGTGCTATCACCAACGCTGTTTCTCCTGCATATCAATGATATGTTGCTAACTGGTAGCATTCATTGCTATGCGGACGACAGCACTGGTGATGTCTTATATACCGGCCGTGCCAATATTTCTCGGGAAAACGTCGCTGAGTACCGGGACAAACTTGTGTTTGAAGTCGAGTCTTTGCTTAACAAAGTCTCGGATTGGGGCCGACTAAATCTAGTCCAGTTCAATCCCCAGAAGATACAAGTTTGCGCGTTTACCGCTAAAAAGAACCCCTTTGTCGTATCTCCTCAGTTTCAAGGCACTCCCCTTGCTGCCTCAGCTAGTATCGGAATCCTTGGCGTCGACATATCGAATAGTGTGCAGTTTCGTGGTCACTTGGAAGGGAAGGCCAAATTGGCCTCTAAAAAGCTTGGCGTGCTCAGCAGAGCGAGACAGTATTTCATGCCGGCACATCGCTTGCAACTTTACAAAGCGCAAGTTCGGTCCCACATGGAATACTGTTCTCATCTCTGGGCCGGGGCACCCCAGTGCCAGCTCCTTCCACTTGACCGCATCCAGCGCAGAG